CCTCCAAAAAGAGGCTTTCACTTTTATCCAGAGCAACTTCCTAAAAGAGGCTTTAACTTTTATCTAGAGCCACCTCCAAAAAGAGGCTTTCACTTTTATCCACTAGCCTCCAAAAAGAGGGTTTCACTTTTATCCAGAGCGACTTCCAATAAGAGGCTTTCACTTTTATCCAGAGCAACTTCCAAAAAAAAGGGGTTTCACTTTTATCCAGAGCCACCCCCTAAAAGAGGGTTCCACATTCAGCTACAGCTAGGGTCGTCACGATAATAACATTTTCAACTCGATACCAATATTCAGGAAAATATCCGATACTCGATTAAGGATGTCCCGATCCAGCTTTTTTCCCTTCCGATCCGATACCGATCCCGGCCTATCAGAGCGGTGGCTGTGGGTTAGAGATGCTAATGCTAATGCTAATGCTCGTGTGGAATCGGACTTAAAAAACTAAGTTTAATAACTAGACTTTGTCCTGTTTCAGGTAGTTTTTCTTAATAAAGGCTCAGTGGGTTTATCTTTAGATTGAAAATGTTTGTTTATATATTTAATTAAATGTTTTTGTTATTTGGTTCTGAGGGTCCAAATGACTTATTTACAGCATTTTAATTATACAACAAGAACGTGATTGGTGTAAAATGTCTAAAACCATTTTCCTTTAGATTTCAAACGGTAGTGTCTGATCTGATCCCGATCCCGGCCTATCAGAGCATGTATTAAAGTTTAAAGTTATTTATCTACTTACTTAGTTGTCAGACTCATGTTGAACAGGGATTTGCTCTGACAACAACTTAATGGTTAGTACACAGACCTGTGGGTTACAGATGCTAATGCTAATGCTAATGCTCTTGTGGGATCAGACCTAACCCTAGAGTCTGCTATGAGGCCGAGGGGTCAAAGGTCAGGGAAAAAAGAAGGATCCTGGTAAAAGAGGTTTTTTAAGGCTTTCTTTGCCCCCCCCCCTCTCACAGGCAGCTAACGGAGGAGCACCGGCGGCTGTCTGTGGAGGAGGAGTCGTTGTGGCTGCGGATCCGTTCGCTGACGCTTCGCCTGCTGGCGTTTCCCGGAAACGCGCCGCACGACTCGGACACGACCAACCAGAACCAGAACGGCGTGGGCGAGGCGGGGAGGAGCCGGCTGCTAATCCAGCTGCAGCAGACGCTGCAGGCGGGGGGGCAGCTGGCAGAGAGACGCACGCAGGTAAGGAGCACTTCCCCTACTCTCTGATTTATTTATTTATTTATTTATTTATTTATTTATTTATTTATTTATGTATTCATTTATTTATTTATTTATGTATTTATTTATTTATGTATTTATTTATGTATTTATTTATTTATTTATTTATTTATTTATTTATTTATTCATGTATGCATGCATGCATGTATGTATGCATGTATGTATGCATGGATGGATGCATGGATGCATGGATGGATGGATGGATGGATGGATGGATGGATGGATGGATGGATGTATGTATGTATGTATGTATAGATGTATGGATGTATGGATGTATGGATGTATAGATGTATGGATGTATAGATGTATAGATGTATGGATGTATGTATGGATGTATGTATGGATGTATGGATGTATGTATGGATGTATGTATGGATGTATGGATGTATAGATGTATGGATGTATAGATGTATAGATGTATG